TAACAGTACATATTTCATAAGGTCATTGTGATGAATAAATGAATTCATTCATCTAAAATGCTTAGACCAACGTCTAATACTTTGTATGTGCTTAATAAATGAAGCTATTATCATTGAGGACAAATCACACACCTTCCTAAGGGCCTTTGTACAGCACACAAGTGCTATTCTTCTCTTCCCTTTCTGCACTGTTCAATTTTGTCTATCACTGATTCAAATGTCACATCTTTAGGAAGTCTCTAACCTTCCCAGGATAGACTATATCAACTTAATACATTCTATGCTTCCTGATGGCACTTATTTGAAATTACTAATTTGTAGGGCTAATTAACAGATGTATTTCCCAACACACTATAAGGAAGCTCTGAGAAGGGAGAAAATGGTGTCTTTTTTACCTCAAGCACTTAGTACATAGTTGGTACTTATAACATTTATTCAATATTTAAGGAAATTTCATCTAATTTGCTTTTCATCAAATTCTCTGTTAGCATGTATAATGCTAATTAAGTTTGAATAATTTTCCAGTTACTGGAGAAGTTTAAAATATCAGAAGTGTATTAATATTTTGTAGCTTTTTTTTTTTACAGATTTCTTCAGGAAAAAAAATGTAAAGATCATCTATTGCAGTTTAATTCTAAAGGATTAGAGGATGAAAGAGATTTGATGATCTTGTAAAATATTAGTTATCACTAATTCATTTTTCACCTACAATTACAAGTATAAAAGAATTAATTTGTAAATATTTTCATCATGGTTAAGGAAAAACACTTACCATAAAGCTTCATTTCACCAAGACACTAGTCACTTATTTTTAGATTTCCAAACCATATACCCAATTATTAATAAAAGGCTAAAAAAGGAACCAAAACAAAAAACTAAAATGAGTTTAAAAGGCATCTTCTCTTGCAGTTCAGTTTGGACAGCTCGAAGTTAACTTTGTCTCCTGATTGGTAGTATTTATAAGGAAGTTTAGTTCAAGAGAAAGGTAAATATGGCCAATTCTACAGTATAGTATGACTGTTTTGTATTTYCCTCTTATTTAATATATCTGCACATTAGCATATTAAAAGCTCTAAGAAGCCATGTAAGAAAACCCACTTAACTTGGTTTAAACTGTTTCCAGCTTACTTGAATCTATTATTTATGAAAGCTAGTTATTAAATACACTCTTGAGAATTGCATTGACACCTCAAAATTCTACTAAGAATTAAACAAAATCAAAATTTTGCTTTTCATAGTCCCATGGCTCCTAGTGACCTATGCTTTAAGATTTCATAAACCGGGCTRGGGATGTGGCTCAAGCTATCACGCTCACCTGGCATGCGCGGGGCACTGGGTTCGATCCTCAGCACCACATAAAAATAAAATAAAGATGTTGTGTCCACSGAAAACTGAAAAATAAATATTAAAAAATTCTCTCTCTAAAAAAAAAAAAAATTTTCAAAAACCATCCATTTGGTGATTCACCCAAGGATATTATCAAGAGTGATGGGCACTTGGGTTAGGGATGTAGCTCATTTGTTGAGCTCTTGCCAAGCATGTTGGGCTTTGGATTCAATCCCCAGAGCTGTCAAAAAAACAAAACAAAACAAAACAAAAAGTGACTCTAGTACTTCATCATTTGCAGAATTTACTTTCTTCCTTTTAAAAATCAGGACTTTTGCCAGTCAAGGCTTGGTAACAATTTAATGACTTCATCAATCAGATTTTCAATGAAAATTGTATGTGTGTGGGGGGTGTAGAGATAAAGGATCTGAGGGAAAGAAATACAAAGCTTCATTATTTTTGGAACCACAAATTTGAAAGTTGTCAGGGACATATATCCTTTCAAATTAGTGGCTTGCTGCAGTTGGGTACCGGAAATACCTGGGAAATTCATGATACCAATGGAATTGAGACCTGGGCATGTGTTGTATGAAAAGCTTCCCCCATGAGTTTCATGCATATTTCTACATAAAAATCCTGGTTTTGGACACTGCCATCCTCACTGTAATCATATGCAACAAGGACTATTTAACTGTAATTGTTTTCAATAAAAATAAAATCCTCTATGCTTTTAACTTTTCTGTTTTACACCAGGGGTCCATGGCATCTTTCTTGTGAGTCCAMTGCACCTTGATTTCCTTAACAGTAATTGAGGAGTCTGCCATTATTCCTTGATATAGTTAATTCAGATGATAGGGCCAGTTTTTTTCTTCGTTTCACAGTGGTCAACTGATTCTTCCCATATTGGAAAATTTAAGTTTTGGAATAGCAGTTTTCATGACCCCTTTTCTTCTTCCTGAGAGTAAGAAAATTACAAATACACCTGAAACTCCTTTTGGAGTATTTCAGCACTTTTTTCCCCTTTTAAAACAGATAACACTTCCCAGTGCAGTCTGGTTTTCTTTGTACATTTGGTTGTCATATTGGTAAAACATTGATATCTGCTTGACAGGCTGGATATGCCCTCACAATAATCCAATTTCCATTTGTCTCTAGAATAATCTGTAGAGCAGCTTTGATACCTGTGTCTGTTCTAGACATAGAGCACCACACAGCCTCATCTCTGTAAGCTACTGTTTTTTCTGACCAAGTTATTCTCTTCCACTGTAACATTCCCATAACTTTACTATACCAACTCTTGATCATATTACATATTAAAATATATTCTTTATTATTTCCAGTGAATTATCTGAGACTTTCAAGTACATTTTTAATTTTTAGGAAATTAAAACTGTTATTTTTTTTACATTACATCTTATAGTCTTCAGAGATCATGAATGGTTTTTTTAAAAAAAAATACTGAAATTTATTTTGGTGACTTAAAACAAGATGTAATTTATGTAACCATTTTGTGTTTTAAAGTAAAACTTCCTACATTTAATTAAGAGTTTGAGTACAGGTTACTGTGCAAACGAAAGCTAACTATTCTAGGCTTAAATGAACYTGAAATAATGATTAAGTTTTCAACTGTCTGAAGTAGGTACAGCAACATTAAAGGGAAGGGACTAGTTAAACATCACTTTCGCTCCTAAACTATCAAGAGCTAAGATACATACAAATTTTATGGCAAGTAATCTAAAACTCTTCTAAAAATGATTAACTGTTATTCTATCCCACAAGAAAACCAATACAACAGATCTATCTAATTAGTTAAGACACCAGATACTCGTCATGCAGTTTCAGTGTCTAGTAGCAAACCTCTAGACCTTAAAGTTGTTTCACAATTTCTAAATACTTATTAATCACATTTTAAAAGGCTGATATCCACTCTAAACTACATATAGAAGGTACCAGAGTACATAATTATTAAGTGCAACCTGACAGCCTCCAAAGATTTCAATATATATGCAATATATAATGCATTACTTTCAAAAATAAAATTTCACACAGGGTGGGACAAATACCAAATATTTGAGTACTCTTACCTCTAGATATTTGACATACATCAATCTATATTTTTCATATTAAAATTAAAATACTGATAAGAGTTGGCCCAAGGGACAAGTTATAATTTTAGTTTATCAAAAATTATCTGTAAAATGTAACCACTTGAAATTAAAAGAAAAAAAAACATTTTAGAATAGCTTTTCTCTCTCTCTCTCTCTCTCTCTCTTTTTTTGAGATAGAATCTATGTTGCCCAGGTTGATCTTGATCTCTCAGGCTCAAGTGATCTTCATTTCTAACCTTCAGAACAGATGCAATTATAGGCATGTGCCACCATATCCAGCCCCTGGGATAGTTTTTTTCAGTACCATCAAATTCTAGCAAAATATAGTTCATTGAAAAAACTTAGGTATTAGTTTTTAAAAAGATGTTCTGCTTTTTTGTCTTCGCTTCGTTAGAGATCCAAAAGCATTTTGCTGTACAACTCTTGCTTTTCATAACTGAATTAATTATCTAACCTTTAGAACTAAGTTATTACTAAAAACCCTCTAAATTGTTTATCACCATACCAGAGCCAGGAAGTTAAAAATAAAATAATTACTGACAATAGAAATGGCCTTTTAAAAATTATTATTTTTGTTATACTTGCATTTAAAAATTCATTCCTATTTAACAAAAAATGACTTAAAATATATATTTCAAGTCTCATCTGGAAAGAATGTATATGATTTCATTTGAAAAATAATGAAGTTTCTACAAATATATGCAAGCTCTCAATATGAGTTGCAAATGTATCATCAGAATCTTCACATTTTAGTATTTTTATTTTTTTGGTGCTGGGGATTCAACTCAGTGCCCTCACATAAGCTAAGTATGCACTCTACCACTGAGCTATATTCCTAGACCCATATTTTAGCATTTCAAAGGGAGATTTTTGCTGCATTATGTGATTAAAGACAGTACTTTTACATGTAAAAATAATTTGCACTGAAAAACTCAAGCAAAAGTCTGATACTTTATCAAAATAAGATCAAAATGAGCAATAAAAATAGCAAAAGTTGTTACAAAAAATAGCAATTCCTATTTAAATTCCTGTTTATGCAGATTAAAAATGTTTATCAATTAACTACATCACACAGATTGCAGCATATTTGAAGATATAATATAGAAAGGTAACATGGGATATTTGAAATTCAAGCTGCATTTATCAAATAGTTTCAACCTGAGTCTTTGAWGTCTTCAAAAATCCATTTGATAATAATGTATGCTAGTTATTTTTTGGTAGTATAATTCAAGGGTARTTTTCTTTAAGTTACTCAATGCTGTTTATTCCTAAGTATGTGAAAATTATATAAATATTTACTACACTTTTGGTTTTTCATAACACTYGAGAGTGTATGAATTGAAAAGCTGTTACTTTTTTCTTGTTGTACAAGTATATAAAGATGTTTTCTTAATTGAAAGTGCCTTAGATTTAATATTATTTTCACATTTTGAGTTATTTTAGAACAAATATAAAAGGTAAAAAGATTATCATAGATACTTAACTATTCCCATAAAATAAATCAAACCCACTGAAGGAACTATACAAGTTCACTAAAGAATGTATCAGATTAATCATTTCCTCCTATAAATATTTTTTTATTTATTTTGTGTTTAGAAGTTGCAGTTTTAAGTACTATTAACAGAAAATACATAACAAAAGCTTCCTAACAAGTGAAAAAAATAATTATAAATGCTGGAAAAATTGGCTTCATTAACATATTTACAGACTTTTACTTAATACATACTCCTTTGGAAATTAATTATATGACATTTATACAAGCATTAACATCTCCAAATCACTCTGAGTAGTGAGTACTTCAGTTCTTTACTGTCTGTACCCAAAACTGAAAGTCATTTCATTTCTGAAAGCCACAAGCAACAATTGTCTTCTGGTCAATCTGAGACACTGTTGACATACTGTTCTGTTCTTTCACCTAAAGATGCTTCTGTTGAGGAACTGTCCTTAGGCTGTTTCTTCTCTTTACTCTGATCTTCTTGCAGCTTCAGAATTATATTTCGAATTTCTTCTCTTTTTGTTCTCATTCTTGGGGGAGGAAACCAGTTTGATAAATTCATAGGTAGCTCAAAATTTAGTATGGGATTCTGAAAATGAAAGATTAAGTGTCTATTAGAAAATTATAATCAATAACATTTTAGCTTCAATTACAAAAACAGTCCAAAGTTAAAAATGAAAATATCAATTGAAGTAGATTTCCATGCAYGTCTAAGTTTGTCCAGATGGACCCAACTACTATGTATGACCAACCATAAAGATCTTAAAAAAAAAAAGAATTCATTCTTAATATAGGCATATTCAGATTCATATACATATATTAAGAAATTATGTACATCATAAATTTGWATCTAGTACAAATAAAAAGAATGATTTTAAAAAAAGAAAGTATCAATATATATTTATTCATTACCTTATCATATGCCAGGCAATATGCTGGGTACCAGAAATGTAAGATAATTTCTGTGTATATAGATCTTATAGTCTTGATTAAAGGCTGGCAAACTACAACCACTAAGCCAAATTCTGCATGTCCATTATTTTAATAAAGTTTTTTTCTTTTCTTTTCTTTTTGGCAATGCTGGATACCAAGCACAGGGCCTCCCCCTCATGCATGACAGGCAAGTGCTCTACCATTGAGTGACATCCCTAAAAAAAAAAATACTTAACTTTCTTGTCCTTTATAAAAAGGTTTGTCAGCCCCAGGCCAGACAGAAAGATAATTCAATGATGAATACGACAAGTATTACGACATAAGTATAAAACACTATGAGAATAAATATCTAAGGGCTAATACTATTCTAGGAGAGTAAACCTAAAGAACAAGTAAACATTAGCCAGTCAAGAAAAGACAGAAGCAATAGTGAAGAATATTACAGTAAGAAATGTGTATTACAGCTTAGAGAAAAGAAAGGACAAGACACAAAATGAAAAACTGAGTAACTTTCTGCTGGCTGATATATAGAATGCTAGAATGACAATGCTCAGAAAACGAGGCTAAAGCTTAGATAGGTACTAGATCATACAGGTCATTTGAAACTTGTTGGTCTTTAATTCAAAAGCAACAAGCCACTGAAATATTTAAGGCAGGACTGGAGAGAAGGAAAATACTCATTTGTGAAAGAACCATGGAGGCTGAGTGAAGCTCCAACAACCTTACAAATCTGCACCTTCTCTGAGCGCTGTGCTTAGCTGTATCCTGAGCATTTCAGCTCTTTTTGGAAGCCTGGATGAAGCCATTGGATTACGAAACAATTTACTTGGAATGAACAGTGAACATTTTTGCTTTTATAAAGAAACATTAGCATGTATCTGGCTTTTTTTTTTTTCCATGGCAATTTTAGGGCACACTCTTGAATGYAATAAAGCTGTGGTTGGATAAAGTTGAGTTAGTGCTGTCTCAGAGGTATAGARGAGTCAAGCAACCACTGTAACGAACAACACCAGAGTCTCAGGGTTAGAGGGAATCTTAAAACTGACTTATGCCTCTCAAGCATAGGAGAATGGATCATGCTAAAGGGGTATGGGGACACCAGGTATTCACTCTACCCTGGAGATGTGGTAGACACTGGAAGCTGGGAGGCTTCTGTGACCCCTCTCTAAATGATAGTTCCTGAGGGAGAAGACTCTTTAGAATGGCTGCTTTACAATGGTTGTATGAATCTTTCTAGTGAATTTAGAGCACTTGTCATTATAAAATASAAGTACAGGCAGTGAAGGGAAGATATTAGTAATAATAACAATATAATCATCATGGTGGCTACTAAAAAAAGTAACATGATTAGATTTGGGTTTTTGAAAACAATTATGAAAAAGAGAAGGCAGAAAGAATGGGAATATGAAACAGAAGAATGGGAATCAATACAGAAGCCTTCAAGAGTGGTGCTAGCACACTGGACTTGGAAAGAAACAGCACGGACAAGGTAATGTATGCATTGATATCTAAGAGACAGTATTTTGTGACTCATCCACTGGACAGYGGGTGAAGAACTAAGGAGTCAAGATAACCAAGGAATATCTAAAGGAGAAATGTATGGTACTATTACTCTGAAGTTAAAGGAAGAGAGTAAAAAATTAATGGTCAACAATGTTAAATGGTTATGGGAAGTAAAGAACAATTTTAACATAAGGGTAAGGATAATGCCAGATATCAGAGATTTGAGGAGCAAGTATGAAATGGAGGCAGTAAATACAATTATTTTTCAAGAAATATATCTGTGTCCTGGTGTGGTGGTACATTCCTGTAATCCTATCAGCTTAGGAAGCTGAGACAGGATTGCAAGTTCAAAGCCAGCTTTAGCAAGTTAGTGAGACCACGTATCTAAATAAAAAATAAAAAGGGCTGTGGATGTGGCTCAGTGGTTGGTTCAATCCCTGGTACCAAAAAAAAAAAAAAAAAAAATCTGTGAAGGGGAGAAATGAGACAGTAGGAACTACAGGAGAGATTAGTTAAGGTGGAAAGAACCAGTGGACATGACAGGTTGATCAGCACTGGATTTGGTGACCTGTATGTCTTTTAAAAGTGTTCCAATTAGTACTGGGCATGGTGGAACATTCCTAAAATTCCAGCAACAGAAGGAAGGGGATTCCACGTTTGAGGCCAGCCTGAGCCACTGAAGGAGAGCCAGTCTCAAAATTTAAATAGGGCTGGGGATATAGCTCAGTGGTAGAGTGCCTCTAGCTTTGATTCTCTGTATTGCAAAGAATTTTTTAAAAAGTTCTCCAATTGTTAAGTTTTTCCTCCCTGGAATAATTTTTGAAACCACAGTTTTCAAACTCTAAAATAGTTGCTCACTATACAAAATAGTTGTTCATTATACAAAAAATAAAGTCAAATACACATTTCATTATCAATTATGTCAGATCCAAAAAATTAAAACTCACCTCGAAAAAGCTCTCTACATACTGTAATACATATACACCACAATCACTAAAGTTGTTTTGCTGTGGTACTTTTGGATTAGAGCCTTTCATAACATCTTTAGAAAAACTTCTTTTGCTTCCTTTTTTAACTTCCCATTCCACTTCTAAATACCTGCAATAATGCATATGCAATAAATTATACACATATAAATATACAAACTGCCTCATCTCTAACAGAATACAAAACAAAGTGTGAGGTGCAATTTTGAACTTACTCTCTTAGAATTTTGACAACATTTGACCGAGAAGGGCCTCTGAGTGAATCCATAAGTAGGATACAAGGTCTGCAGAGTACAAATGACCAAAAATTGAATATTTCATAATGTTACAAAAGCATAAAAAGACTAATAGCATATTAACATAAAATTTTAAAACTTCAGAATTTACTTGTTTACCTCAGTAAATACCAGAAGAAAAATAAACTTTAGAGATACAAGCAGCCTAGTAATTAGGTATTGATGGTTATAGTGAACATTGAGTTGTAAAATATTAATGTAACCTTGGTTAGAAATATGTTATACTAAATTTCCATAGTTGATTCCTAATAATACTTTAAAAATTTAGCAGAAAAACAAAAGTATGAAAATTTGAACATTCACTACMCTTAAAAAAAACAAACAAAAAMCCCCCCCAAAAAACCCAGTGGGGCCATGTGAAAGTAGAAGGAAAATAACCCCATTAAAAAAAAATAAGGCCTATTACAAATATTAAGACAGATAATTATCACATAAAAGCAACAGTTTAGGGTGTGTGTGTGTGTGTATGTATGTATGTATGTGTGTATGTTTTAAGATTCTACCACAGAACACTTAATTCAAATCCAATTTTCAAAGAACTTCAATTCTATACAGCTATGTTGTAAACCCAAGTAAGTACATGTAGTGCCAAATGTCCTGAAATAATAAGATCTAGACCACTCTTAGCTAAATTTTTTTTGGGGGGATCTGGAGTAGACTTTCTTGCTGTGTGTGCTAAGGTTTTAACCCACCGCCTCAAGCATACTAAACCACATGCTCTACTCCTGAGCTACATCCCCTTGTCCTGAGGGGACTACCAGAGGTTTACTTTTATAAATTAAGTTTGCTTTTCAAAGTCTCCTATAGACAAAGTCAAAGGAGATTAAGTCTAGAAATAATCAAATTTGGGATCTCTGGAGAGATTTCAAAACACACATGTACTTCTGAAAACTAACAGTGATTTACTCTCATTTGGGGTTCCTATATGAAATTTATCCCTTAGTGCTGATGTGACTCACTCCATGGCCCCGATGTAGGAGTTACGGAACCAGTGTAAACTCCAAACCTGTGTTAACTGTTTTGACATGTGTTTTCTGCTCCAAAACACAGTATACTAAAAAGAATAATGGTTAACTATTGAGACATGTATGTATATCCATAGATGAAGAGTTTAGAAAAATGGGCAAATGGGGGACTAAAATAATTACTCATTCTCCCTTCCTTTATCCCTGGTGGCACACCCCACTTTTCCTCAATGATCCTGACAGCATTTGTGAATTATACTTAAATATTTGTTTAAGCAAAAACTATTTAAATAACATCATATAGTTTACAAGACATAGTTATTGCTTACTGTTTACAGATAGTAGGCTTTAAATGCCACTGTCCTATTTCTGAATTGCAATTGTCATCAGCAAGGAATCCATCATCGCTGCTATCATCCTATAAGAGACAGCACACTATTAKTACTTAAAATATGGATTTCAAATTAGGGATGCTCAACCTGTATGTATTGGGAAAAAAAACATCTACAGTCATTCGTTGTTAACCAAGGGACATCACAAAAAAAAATGTGTTTTCTTGATTTGTATTTCTCTAATTACTAGAGATGTTGAACATTTTTTCATATATTTGTTGACTGTATATCTTCTTCTGAGACATGTATGTTCAGCTCCTTAGCCCATTTATTGATTGGGTTGTTTGATTTTGGGGTATTAAGTTTTTTGAGTTCCTTTATGTATTCTGGAAATTAGTGCTCTATCTGATGTGCATGTGGCAAAAATTTGATCCCAAAATGTAGGCTCTCAATTCACCTCATTGATAGTTTCTTTTGTTGAGAAGGAAATTTTTTAGTTTGAATCCATCCCATTTATTGATTTATGATTTCATTTCTTGTACTTTAGGAGTACTCTAAGATTTCATCTCACTCCGGTCAGAATGGCAATTATCAAGAATAAAAACAAGAATAAGTGTTGGTGAGGATGTGGGGGGAAAGGCACACTCATATATTGCTGGTGGGACGGCAAACTGGTGCAGCTAGGAAAGCAGTACGGAGATTCCTTAGAAAACTTGGAATGGAATCACCATTTGACCCAGCTATCCCACCCCTTGCTCTATACCCAAAGGACTTAAAAACAGCATACTACAGTGATGTAGCTACATCAATGTTCATAGCAGCACAATTCACAATAGCTAAATTGGGGAACCAACCTAGATGCCCTTCCATAGATGAATGAATAAAGCAACTATGATATTTATACATAATGCAATAAAAGAGAATATAAAATTACGGCATTTGCAGGTAAATGAATGGAGTTGGAGGATAATCATGCTATGTGAAGTAAGCCAATCCCCAAAAACCAAAGGCCAAATGTTTTTTCTGTTAAGGAGATGTTAATCCATAATGGGGGTCGGAGAGCAGGCATGGGATGAGTGGAAGAATTTTGGATGGGGCAAAGGTGAGAGCAGGAGGGGCATGGAAGTAGGAAAGATGGTGGAATGAGACGGACATCATTACCCTAGGTGCACGTATAACTGCATGAATGATGTGACCCTACTTTTGGKACAATCAGAGAAGTCAAAAATTGTGCTCCATTTGTGTATAATGAATCAAAGAGCATTCTGCTGTCATGTATAACTGATTAGAACAAATAAGTTAAAAAAATGATTTTAAAAAGTGCAAAAAAAGTGCTTTCTTGGTTTGCTAGTAGTAGATTAAGCAAAAAGAAAAAAATAGTACAGTATGAAGCAACCTTTACTTTTATGTAAACAAAATTTGTCCTAACAACTAAAGAAAGGTCAAAAAAATAAATAATAATTGGCTGTAGGGTGCTTATGATCTTTTAATATAAGGTTCTATTTAATTGAAACTATAAAATAGTTTCAAAAACACACTTCTTGGGGCTGGGTATATAGCTCAGTTGGTAGACTGCTTGCCTCACATGCACAAACCCCTGGGTTCAATCCCTAGCACCACAAACAAAACAACAACAACAAAAAAAAACAACCCATACACTTCTTAATATTCATATTGGATATTAGAATTCACTTATGTTCTGCTCTTGTCAAGATACATACACATTAAATTAAAAGAAAAAAATCACTGGAGACACTTCAGAGAGATAATATTTCTATGCTCATATACTACATAATTGAAAATTTAAACATTTTCCTGTTGAATGTCAAGTTTCTACAAAGTAGGACCCAATAATTCTTTGAAAGAGGAAGTAGGATAGAAGGTGTTAGCTGGTAAGAGAAATAAAACATTTTTTTTGGTGGCACTGGGGATTGCTTAAATCCAATGGCACTCTACCACTGAACCATATCCCCAACTTATTACTCTCTATATTAATTTATATAGAGACAAGGTCTCATTAAGTTACTAAGGCTGGTTTTCAGCTGTGATCCTCCTGCCTAGTCCCCCAGAGTTGCTGGGATTACTGGTGTATGCCACCATGCCCAGGTGAGAATTAATTTTATATTAAAACTTTCAGAGGTAATGTTAGGGTCAGCCCAGATCAGAGTGGCAAGACAACAGCAGTACTAATACATTTATCCTGGGAATCTTTGACTTGAAACCTAAATTTGTGTTTGGAGGTATGACCCAAATTTCAGAAGCCATGATGAGTTTTTACTGGTTGAAGGACCTGCTTACATGATYCTAAAGAAAAATTTTAGATAAAACAGAATATTTTTCCAGGCTTTCAGTTTTACCTGATTATCTTGATCTTCTGAGAAGTCAATTAGTTCATCTTCAAGCATTTTACTACCTTCAGCTGATTCATCACCATAGCTTAGTCTGATTTTGCTTAAGCCATCTGTATCAACAAGAAACATATATTGAAAAAGATCATCATGCCTATAACTCATAAGATATAATGCTAAAATTAATGCTCATAGTTAATCAATGATATAGTAGTTCAATGATATAATAGTTAAGGATATAAAATCCATTTTATCATGTAACCTCACAAATAAAAAGCAAGTTATTTTAATTGACATATCAATTACCAAATTGTTTCTACTACTTAGACCCTGAAACTCATTAAAATTTAAAAACAAGGTATCAGTTATGATTAAACGTACACATACTTAAAATACATAATGAATGAATATATGTAGATAAACATTGTTGTTCTAGGTAGTCCAGATATTTTAAACTCATAATAGAAGTTACAACAATCTGAAAATAATATAAATGCTAAATAACAAAACCAGAAAACTTTAGAACACAAAATAATGTATAATTTTAAAATTAAAACTGTGAAAATATAAAAAATTATACAATAAATGTAAAAAAATTGATTAAAATAAAGCATCACATAGAGAAAAGCTACAATGACTACTTTAATGGGTGCTTTTGTTCCAAGAAACTAAATCATTAAATCAACTCTTTTGCTGACTGAAAAAAAAATTATTTACATAAAACATTTCAAAGAAATATAAGATGTAGATGAAAGCAATTAAGCCCAAGTCAGGGATTTTAATACCAAATATATCAATATTGTTTAATTCAGAGCACAGCATTTACAAAATTTAGAAAGCATGACTTCTGGGTATTTTAGATAAAGTTTATTTTAGTATAAGTTTAGTTTTAGTATAAGGGGTCAAAATATTAATATAAAAATGTTGGGAAGGAAGCAAAATGAAATGTACTCCTGAAAAGACACAAAAGTCTAAATATTATTAAATGTACACATACCTAAAATATTATGATCAGTTATTATTAAAATAACTATTCAAACATAATGGTAAACCATTTTGTTATACAAACCATAATCTCCTCATCTTATCTTTTTCAAAACTGCATTTTTATGTTTGTTTAAAGTTAAAACACCTTTATTTGAATAACATTTGCCCAAAWTTTGCCCAAACCCTCTGGCAATTAAGAATCAGTAAATCACAATCAGGTTAGTATTATTAATCAGGTTATTAGCAGCAAGTCATTCTTATCTACAGAAACTGTGGTCATATGAATATTTACCTTACACCAATTAAATTGTATGTGCATTTCAAAAACAAAAYAAATTAAATAATTCATTTAATTCCCTCCTTTATTACTGTCAATAAACAAATGACCTGGAATAAATAAATGGTAGCAATTCAATCAGTTTTTCTTTTTTTGGWACAAGGGATTGAACCCAGCAGCACTTAACCATTGAGACACATCCCCAATCCTTTTTTGTTCCCATATTTTTTACTTTTTTGACAGGGTCTTGCCAAGTTGTTCAGAATCTCACTGAGTTGCTGAGGCTGAGTTTGAACTCAGAAATCTGCCTGAGCCTCCCTAGCTCCTGGGATTACAGGCATGTGCCACCATGCTGGGCTCAATCAATCTTTCTATCAATAAATGTAAGTTCCTGAGAGTTTCTCATAGTGAGACCATCTGAAGATGATTTTGAGGCTCAAGTTTAAACACATTTCATGTACCCTAGCAAGTTAACTATTTCATATGGTGCTCAACTGAAAAAATAGCAAGTGCTTTTCACACACTGACTTAAAAATCCTAATATCTGGGATTAGATATAATTCCATTTATATACAACTGCACTTTGTCTAACATTAGTAGTCAATACTGGTAACTATGTCTTTGATAGCTAAAATTATGTTAAAACTGTCTAAAATACACAATTTAAATCCTGTTTAATATGCTATCATTGTATATAGAACAGACTGCTTAAGCATCCTTTCTGAGGTGGTTGGCAAAGGCACATCTAAAGAGCACTCTTATTTAATGTACTTTTGGGTAATGATGCATTGGAAACATCTGATTAAAACTATAGAACCTCATTAYCCAAGTGTGCAGAGACCCACTGTAGAGCACTATTTCAAACTGTGGGACACTATCAATCCTGGACTAAAGCAAGCACTAAGAAAATAGTACAGGTGTTATCACAAATACAAAAATGAAAAATCAATATTCTGTGAAACACTTGCTTCATAAGCCTTTGATTGGGGATATAACTCAGTGGAAGAACACTCACCTAGCATATGTAAGGCCTTGGATTCAATCCCCTACACCACAAGAGTGAAAAAACAAAAAAGACGAAACTCTCTACCCTTCAGCTATCATTTGCCTCTCCCCCCATTCCTGCTTCCCTCCTAAGAAGATATAATTGGTGTCGGTGCACATATACTGAAAACAAAACAAATGCACTAACTATAATTAAAAATTGAATGGGATAAACAGATATTAATACATGAAACATACTTTMATTTTGGTCCTCATTAGAATTTTTTATGCTATTCACTCAAATTTTAACTGGCTATTCAACTTGAGCAAAATTTAATTTGTAGGAGAGGGCACTAGGAATCTGTGGAGTTTGTGTATTAAAAAGCCCTAAGCTTTATTTACATTGCTCTTTAATTCATTTCACATTAAAGTATTTTTGGTTAACTCATCGAAGGAATACCTTCTCYTGTGTTCCTTTCTTAAGAGGATCCTTGCTGAGGATCAAGCCCATGGGTTTGTACTTAACCACTAAAATATTTCTCCTGGTTTCTCTTTTTAATAGTACTGAAATAAAATTCATATAACTTTCAATTACTTAATGCATATAATCCAGTATTTTTCATAGTTAGCCCTCTGTATCCACGGGTTCTCTGTTGATTCAACTAATTATAGATCAAAAATATTTAAAAATATTTTTACTGTACATGTATGGATTTTTTCCTTGTCATTATTCTCTAAATACTGTATAACAACTATGTACACAACATTTATATTGTATTACATAATGTAATTCAACATACTTACTGTAGTAAAGTATACTTTAAGAGGTGCTTTAAAGTATATGGGAGTAAGTGCACAACTTGTATGCAAATATGCCACTTCATTTAAAGGACTTGAGATTCCATAGATTTGGGTGTACTTGGGGGAAAGCAAGAAGATTGTAACCAATTCTCCATGGATACCAGAGGATAACTATATATTCATACATTTGTACAAGTATCATTGCAATCAGTGCTGCCAACCCTACCCCTGCATCCCTACAGAATAAATCCAGGGCCTSAGGCATGCAAGGCAGRCACTCTACCCCTGAGTTACATGTCCAATCCCTACAATCAAGTTTAAAACCTCAAAAAGAAAAAAAA